GAATTTCTGTTTCCATACTCCTGGCTTGAAGTTACTGTTTTAATTTATGGAAAGTGGATTTCTCACTTTAATTTTGAAAGAAGTGTTGAGCGCAGCAATGTAGATGTCGAGGCAGTAAATAAACAGGCATCTGAAAGAATTAAGTACTCAGCTCAGGGAAAAAATAGTATCAGAAAAGGGAAAACGGCCCTGTTTATCCACTTAGCTGAAAGTTAACTCTTGATGTGGGCTCGGGAGTGTTGGGGTGGAGGTGGAGAGGGGCAGTTGCTCGCCTGTGCTGGCCCTGGCGTCACAGATGTTAATTAAAGACAGCCGCCCCGTGGAGGGCTTACAGAGACACACATACTCCCAGCTCGGTCACCTGCCAGACCCAAGAGCTCTGCTGAGCTTGCACAGGCTGACAGCTGAGCTACGACATCAACCAGAGGGCGGACGCGCATGGGATCTCCTGGCTGTTCTATAAAATGTGGCGGATCTGGGAGATGCTGCTGCGCTGTTTGTCCACCTACTGAGAGCGCGTGCGTTACAGAGAGCCTGCTTGCGTGTGCAAAGCCTGTACACCTGTGTGGGTGCGAACTCCAGGACAAGAGCCCTCTCGAGGCATTCACGTCTTCTCCCCTCGGGACCTCGGCCAAGAGGATTCCGAAACAGAGGCGTCATGTGCATTGCAAATAAGTAAATAAATCCCCAGGCTGCACTGGGCCCAGAGCTCCACCAGCAGGTGCCATTCCTGCCTCACCCGCAGGGTGGGCCCGCCCAGGACCCAGCGCCCAGACCGCGTGTCCTGCAGCCAACAGGACCCCTGCGGGGCGGGAGGGCAGGGCCGCGTACGTTTTGGGTAAGGGGCAGTGGGGCCGTCGTGTCCCATTTCTTCCTCCCCTTTCCCACCACCCTTGCGTTTTGGGAAGAAAAACCTGACTCCTGCACCTGCAGTCGGGGGGCCTGCAATTCTGTGTCAGCTCCACCATTCACTGCATGTGAATTTGGGCCCGTCCACAGCCCCGTCCTGAGTGGAGTCCCGCTCATAGCATCTTATGGAGAGTAAGTGAGAGACGATTAACAAGCTACTTTCCTTTCTTTCCCCTTCCTCCCTTCATTCCCAGCTTTTCTGGAGGCCCTGTCTTGTCTTGTGGGGGGAGGGATGCTTAGGGTACAAATGCACAAAGGTAGGTGGGAAGTCCGGATTCTGCAGGGGCTCCCCCTTTCCTGAAGCCCCCTCCTCTGTGGGGTTAACGAGTGATGATCTCAAAGCGCTTTTCAGAGCGAGGCTCTGTTTACCACGAGGCAAGTGAGGCCACCTCCTGTCAGGGCGCCTTATGGACGCCTAATAAGTCCTTTGTGTGCAAACATCCGCTGGGCTCTGGTCAGGGGCAGCTTCCAAATACTCATTGCTCCCGAGTTATGTTATGCAAATATAATACTCATATCATGAGAATCGGCAAACAGTTGGCAACTGGCAAGCAGAAGAAAGCTCCCTTCCAAAAGTGCTCCAGGGGAGGCATAAAACAAAATGACATCGCATGAAAAGGGACAATGCCAGGAACACTAGAGGGAGTGCCCACAGAGAGGCCTTTCTCTCAGGGGCGGCTCTGGGCAGCGCTCAAGACTGGCTTCTGGAGTGAGACTTCCGAGAGGAGTTGGGACACTCAGGCTCACATCCCCCATCACCTGTCTGCTTTTGAGATGCCTTTTGCCGCTTAGTGCTATTAGCTGCTCAGTTAAAAGGGCACGATGTGATGTGTCTAATTAATAAACCCCATCCGTATGGTGTGCACTTGGTGATTTAATCAGGTAAATTCAAAGCTGAGGTACTGGGGACAGGAGGCAGAGAGCAGATTGAAAGGTAAAACTGGAGGGGACAGGATTTCTGGGGTTCAGTTAGCATGTGGAGGCCAATAAACAAATACCTGGAAGATGGTTTTATTTTTTATTTTTGAAAATTTCACTTTTGTTGCTGTTTTCCAGGAAGAAGCAGGGGAAATTCTTTGCATGAATTATTGAGTTCATACCCCTTACACAAGATGCCTGCAAAGATATGTGCCATTAAGTAAAATAACACGGCTAAAAGGCTTCAAGGAGCCACAAGAGCTATGTTGTTTAATGGGACAGTGACGGTAACGACAAGGAATAGATGACAGGACTGTCATTCTCTGCTATAACCTTGTGTGTGGACAGCAAAAGGTACCCCAGAACCATGAGCACTGGTGAAAGGGGTGGCTGGCACCCCAGGCGTATCCACCAGCTCGGTCGGCAGTGGCTGCAGATGTCTGGGGGGTGGGCTGGGAAGGAGAGGCAGGTATGTCTGCCCTGGTCAGGGGCTGGAGGGGAGGGCGAGGCTTCAGCCGCTACTTGGACACAGCCGCTGGACAGCAAGCTTCCAGCCCAGTCAAGAGATGCCAAGGGCAGGCAGGGAGACCGGCGTGCGGGCGGATCTGGGTGGCAGGTGGCTTGCTCTGGAAACCTAGTCAGCACCTCGGAAGCGCATCGCAGGCCGCGGGCCGCCCGCTCCACCAGCAGGAAGCTGCCCATTATCTCACCCACAGGTGCCATCTCAGCTACTCATGTGCGCGCTCTGGCTGGGCTCCCCCAGGAGCCCCTGCGGCTGCCGGCAGAGTCCCAGTGCCTTCTCCAAAGTCATATCAAAATGACAAAACATCACAACGCATTCAGCTCCAGCGGATTCAAACAGAGAGAACTTTTAAGTTTCCACTGTAATTAACCCTATCCTCGTTAAGATAATTATGATCAAGCTTCCTGTCACAGTTAATATCCCAGCATCATTGCCTGTGGCTCACACTCTGCCCTCATTAGCTTATGAAAACAGCGGCACTAGGCAGGCGGCTGCCGCCCTTTCCAAGCCGGGCCAGTGGCTGTGAGGGGCCTTGGGCACGGCGGCAGGTCCTACAAAAGGGCCACCCCTTGAACTCCAATGCCTTCTGCTCCTGTGTGGGCACACACTTGGTGGCCTTCATCCCTTTTCCAAAAGTTAGCCACTTGTCAGAATGGGGAAGGAGAAGGCCAGGACCATAGCAGGGCAGGGGCGCTATTAGCCTTCCCTGCCCCCTGCCCAGCAAAAATCCAGCCAGGAAAATCACCAGAGGGCACCTCCAGAACCCCTGGTTCAAGACCCGCCAACCTCATTCTTGGGGATCCTTCTGTCCTCAGCTCCCAGCTTATACCAGGAGTGATACTTCCACCTGGCATGAGCTGGGCAGGGTGCGGAAGACAGTTAACTGCAAACCCTCAGAATGACATGTGTCCGCATAGTTGGCCTCAACTCCAGAATCAAAGGTTAGGATACTCTCAAACCAGTTAAGAAAATAAGGTCTCCACTAAGATCTTTACCTACTTCCTCCATTCCATCTACCTAAGTATCCACAGATGCATTTTTA